CCTAATGAAGCCTGCACAGTGAAACCCTTAGGGACTTTGTATAATAAATCAGTCATCTAGCACCTGAAAATTTCCCCTTTTTCTTCTGATGGTACTAGGAAAGGACAAAAACTGTTAAAATTGTTATAAAATTATTATAAAACTGTTATCACAGCAGCGGCCTGAGGGTGAGGTGTCAGTTCTACACTAACAATGGTTTGCCTCTTTTCTTCAAGGTCAGGGACAAAGGGTGGTGCTTAGGGATCAGCGGTCCCGGAGGCACCCTCTTGATTGTGGGGTGCCTCAGGGGGCAGTGCTGTCCCCGATGTTGTTCAACATCTATATGTGCCCCCTTGCCTAGATTGCCTGGAGGTACGGGCTTGGGTGTCATCAATATGCGGATGACACCCAGCTCTATCTGATGCTGGGTGCCTGGTCGGACTCCGACCCAGATGACCTTCATCGGGCGCTGCAAGCTGTGGCTGGATGGCTCAGACTGAGTTGGCTGAAACTAAACCCGGTGAAGACGGAGGTCCTGTGCCTAGGTCTGGTCGGTTCGGGGTTGGGACTCCCCCTCCCGATCTTTGATGGGGCACCTCTGGTGCCAGCATTGAGGGTTAGGAGTTTGGGTGTACTCCTGGACTCCTCTTTAATGATGGAGGCCCAGGTAGCAGCCACTGCCAAGTTGGCCTTTTGTCATCTTCGGCTGGCTCGGCAGCTGGTTCCCTTCCTTAACTGCGATGACCTGGCCACAGTGATTCATGCAATGGTCACCTCGAGGCTGGACTACTGTAACACTCTCTACTTGGGGCTGCCTTTGTTGCAAATCCGAAAGCTGCAGCTAGTGCAGAATGCGGCAGCCAGGCTGCTGATGGGTCACTCTAGGCAAGACCATATCCGGCCTGTGCTGAAGGCGCTGCACTGGCTGCCAATAGCATACCGGATTTGCTTCAAAGTGCTGGTTCTTACCTTTAAAGCCCTCTATGGCCAGGGTGCAGCATACCTGAGGGACCACCTTTCCCGATACGTTCCCCCAAGGGCACTACGGTCGGGGGACCAACATCTTTTGGTTACCCCAGGCCCCAGGGATGTAAAAGTCGCTGTGACCAGGGCCAGGGTCTTTTCGGTGGCGGCTCCTACCTGGTGGAATGAGCTCCCGGAGGAGATCCAGGCCCTGTGGGACCTTGTGCAGTCCCGCAGGGCCTGCAAGACGGAGTTCTTCCGCCAGGCTTTTGAGTAGGAGCCGCCACTGTACCACCACTGCACCACTACCGCAAAGTGCGGGGATGCCATCAGGGTGCATGATGGCCCTGGGCTGAAGATCGGAAGGCAGCGTTGTCTTGGAACTTGCTTCGTTGTTCTGGGTCCATCTTCCAGAACCCATCTTGACGACCATGACCACCACCACTACTACTACTACTAACAGGTCATTAATCAGCTTTTTAACTAGCCGCAGAGGTGGTAACTCAGCTTTAAAAACATAAATTAATACTTTAAAACTATGGCTTAAGAGCTTCAAAAGAGGAAATAAATCAAACCCTTAATTTAAAGGGGAGGAATACAAACAAAAAGTATCTTTTATACAAGGTAGCATTACACAGCCTGTATAGCCAGCTCTCAAAGCAAGAGACTCCAGCATTTTAAATTGTGTCAGCCTTGCTGATGTCTCCTTTAAGAAGAATTTAGGGAGTCAAAACAACAAGTGCCAGTAACTAACTTCCTTCTTCGCAATGTGGCTACCACCTAGCAAAACACCTGACAGAGATAATAAAACTAAAAATAAAGATAGAACACTCCAGCAGCAGAGGACAGCCACAGCACTGTTCTCAGCTCAGCTGTAACCCAACCCTATCACCAGACATCTCTTAGGTTCATTTGGCAGGAAAAAATCCCCACAGAAGAGCCGCAACCTTTCTCAAACAAGGACTCAGGTTCTGAGGGAAAGGGGACATGTCCCTAGTGGGGGAATGCTTGCAAAGAACCAAAAGAGACAAAAAGAGAGGAATGAGTAATGTTCAGCGGTAGCCGCAAACAGGTGACCCAGTCACATTTTACATCAAAAGGGAACGGCTATGTGCATTTCTTTAAAAAAAGACCTTATTTTATACTTGAATATATATATTGATTATTAGTCATTAATACTGCTTTGAAATATACTCCTATTATCTTATATCTGGGATAAATACTTATGTCTCAATTCTAATTCAGGGTTTTAAAAGCGTTCTGGTTTGTGTTTGTGAAGAGATGCATTTTTTTTTCCTTTGAAGGTTTGAAATGAGCAAAACCTTAACTTTAAGTTTTAAAAGTTTTTTCCCCCCTTCGTCTCTGGGCGGAGAACAGGCAGAAAGGGAGGAAGTTAGTTTAATTGCTTTCTAGACTTACCTCAGCTCACCTTCATACAAATGCTAATAGGCTACTGGTTCCCAAAGTGGGCAATACCACCCCCTTGGGGGTGCTGGAACGATCCATGTGGGCTGGAATGATCCAGGTGCAGATCCACAAACTGCATCTTTTTGTTCATTTCTTGAAGGTAGATGTCCAGGGGGGTGCTGAGTAATATTTTTTCCTGAAAGGGAGGTGGTAGGCCAAATAAGTTTGGGACCCACTGAATGGGATGGTCAAGCTGCCCCTCCTTCCATCAGGGAACAGAGATTTGGAAGAATTAAATACTAAAGAGAATTCAGTAAGAAAGTTCTCTTCGGTGCTGGGTCCATCAGAACAGACAGAGGTCTTAACTGAGGTTTGGAGGAGGCCTGCATTTAACTATGTGCTGTCCTGAAGAGCTACAGAAAGCTTTGAGGTAATGGAAAACTCTGTAGAGATTTGTAACTTCCTAAACTCAGGAGCCTGTCCTATATTTTAACAACTGATAGGGCATGTATATGGAGAGCAACAGAGGATTTTTGTTTTACACATATATTTTGAATCCCTTGCTCAGTCTGGTGCTGTGCTGAAAGTATGCTTGTGAACATTTTCTCTTTTATAAATACTTTATAAGTTTTGATGCTGGTAGTGGTTCTCTGTACCAGACAGACTTCCACTGTGTTGGACATGCCAGGGGGAAGCCAGGCAGTTGATAAGGGGCTATTCCTCCAAGAGCACACAAGGCAGTAAACTGTCCCTGTGGTGACCAGGTGCTTGGTAGTGGGAGACACAGAGGCAAGGGCTCAGATCTTGAAAGGGAAAGTGGGAGTCCTGGCCCTCCCAGCAGGCACTTCCTTACAAAGGTCAGGTGGTGGCAGTGGTTGCCCAAGAAGGGGAGGAAATCTCTCCAGACTCCAGGTGTTGGGAAAACCTCGGAGAACAGGGTGGAATAGGGCCTCCAGGCCAGAGTTAGCTTGTTCAACCACAGTGCTGAATGGAAATAATATTGTTTAATCATAGGGGATTACATAGTCATTATTAAACTCTCATACCCATCTTATATCGTGCCACAAAGGGGCCAATACAGCATAGATTAATCTTGGATATACTTGTAGTGCTGACAGAAGGGTGAACATTGTCTCCTTGGGCAATGTTGGATAATGTCCTTGTGTTGCATGAGCAGGCCTTTCTTTCTTGGCTGATTCCGCCTCTTGCTGCACTTTTTCTTGGGGAAGCCTAAATGTGGTACAGGGGTGCTTTGTCATTTTGTAAGGATTATGAGATGTGGTGGGATGTGGGATATGATTAAATCAGTAGAATTCTTTTGTAAGGGATTATGAGACTTTTCAAAAGCAAGTTGGGCAGAACTAGATGGTGTGCAAAATATGCCTAAAAATCCCAGAGAACTTCCTTGTTGACTTCTGACTGCAGTCTCCATCATTGACTTCTGACTGCAGTCTCCTTGTTGACTTCTGACTGCAGTCTCCATCATTATCACTGTAGAAATTAAGCCATATGATATCACCATCAGCCAGTGAATCAAGCATCAAATCAAGAGATGGTGTGGTATAGTGGTTAGAGAATCAGCTAAGACCTGAAACAATTGGGTTCAAACCCCTGCTCTGCTATGGAAGATCACCAAGTGACTTTGTGGCTGTTGCAATCTCTCACCCTACCCTGCCACACTATGTCATGGGCTAGGGTGCCAGTCAAAGGGAGTCCAGAACAGGCCAAGGTCAGGAGCCAAGAAGACAGTGTAATGTTCAAAACCAAGCCAGGGTCAGGAGCCAGAGAAACACAGCCAAGTCCAAAATCACTAACCAGAAGCATAGTCCAATGCCAAGCTGGGGTCAGGAGCCAGAGAAACACAGCCAAGTCCAAAATCACTAACCAGAAGCATAGTCCAAAGCCAAGTCAGGGTAAGGATCCAGGAATACTGAGCCAATTCCAAAGCCAGGAGGGTCGAAGGTCTAGGTGCAAGAGCAGAGCCAAAGTGGATGCAAGCAGCACAAAACTGACTTGTTGCTTCCACAATGAGTACTGCCCAGAGTGTGGAGTTAAATGCTGCTACCAATTAGCCAGCTGCACGATCTCGCCCAGACTCCTAGCTGAGTGTCTCCCTGGTAGCCTGGCCTGTCGTCACCTGGTTGCTAAGTTTTGCCACAGTCACTCCCTCTAACGAGTCACACGTGGGGGTGAGTCAGGAGGACTTTCAGCTTCCAGTTCTTCCTTCATATCTGGGCCAGGTGTGAAGACTGCTGTTACAGGCACTTGCCAGCTATCTTCCTCTGCTGCTTCAGAGGGGCCAGCTGTGGTTTCTGCAGGCTCTGTCAGCTCATCCTTATCCACGCCCATGACACACCAGGTGGTTGCTGTGAGGATATAGGAGAAGATGGGAAAACAATGTAGTAAGCGGTTTTTGGTCCCAGTTAGGGAGAAAAGCAGGATATGTATTTTTAAAAGCATAAAAATATCTTTGGTGTTCATTACTTTTCCTTTTGTTCCTTACTTGTTATTATGGCTTTTGTCCAAACAGATACAAACAACTGCTATTCTGAGCACATATGGCATGTGTTGTAAAGCCATCTTTATCTCTTGTCATTTTTTCTCATGTTCTTGGCATCTTTCATTTGTATTTTATTACTTTGCTTCCACAGACAAAAACTGGTATTGCATTATTGTACGACGAAATAACCGAAAACACCTACGAAATCCGACTGAAGCTTACAAAAGAGGTACTAACAATTCAAAAACAAGATGTCATCTGTGTTAGTGGAAGTGATCACAGTGCAAATGTAAGTGCTTCTATAATTTTCTGTTCCCAACCATATTTTTTATCTTGCAAAATTACCTGAAAGTAAACTGTTCTAAACAGGTAATAACACAGTAATGTCACAGAACACTTTTCAGATAGTCTCCCATCACCAGTGTTTTCCTTTTTTGAGGAAGTGGTTGTCCCAATGAATATTTCAGAAAACTTAACTTATTCCCTGCAGGAGCAACTGTTCACCTGAGTGTCTCATATTGATACTCCCATGCTTTTAAAGCTTGTCAGTCTGCCAGGGAACTCCATGGTCTTGCTGCCTTTTCTTTTACAGAGGTCAAGAAATAAACCCTCAGTTATATAATTTAGCCATGTACTCACCTTCAAAACCCTAAACGGTCTGGGACCCTATGCAGGACTGCCTCTCCCTTTATGCCCCTCAGAGAGCTTTACGCTCAACTGGTAGAAACGTGCTGGCAGTTCCTGGTCCCAAAACAGTCTGGCGGTGCTTGACCAGGGCCAGGGCCCCAGACTGGTAGAACTCTTGTCCTAGTGAGATCCAGGCCCTGTGGGACTCGACTCAGTCCTGCAGGGCCTCTAAGACTGAGATGTTCCACCATGCATATGATTGAGGACATCAAGAGCTAATAAGATCAGTGGCCTCCCGGGTCCCCCCCCTTTTTAATCCCCCATACCCCTCTGGTTAAGAACCTTCCCACTGGTGGAATATGATGCCACACTAGCCACTTGAGCTGCTGGCAGGAGAGATGTGTGATGCCATCTAATGATGCTGTAATCTAAATGTATTGTGTATATTTATATTTATTGTATGTTTTTATTGTGTACTGTTTGAGATATGTTGTGTGCCACACTGAGCCCAGTTTCAAGAAATGGGTGGGATAGAAATTAAAATTATTATTATATTGCCTGAAGATAGGGTTGCCATCTCCAGGGTGGGAAATAGCTGGAGATTTGGGTGTGTGTGGAGCCTGAGGAAGGTGGGGCTTGGGGAGTGCAGGGACCTCACAGGAGTATAATGCCATAGAGTCCACCATCCAAAGTGGTCATTTTCACCAGGTGAACTGATTTCTGTCACCTGGAGATGAGTTGTAATAGCAGGAGATCTCCAGCTACAACCTGGAGGTTGTCAAGCCAATCTGAAGATAACTCATATACATTTAACTTTTGATAAAGTTCATGAGGCAGGTACACAGAGAGAAAGAGACCATATAACCTGTTTCCTTCCAAAATTTACTATTTTATTTCTTTTTTTAAAAAATGTAATAGTTGGCTTAGCGTCAAGGTTGGCTCCACTTGTGCAAGATGTAGGGGCAATTTTGCCCAATTCCTTCTCTTCCTGCAAGCCTCCCCCAGTATTGCATGACATCTTGTTCAGGAGTCCCTTGTTGTTCAGCAGAGACAGGAAGCCTGGGCAAAAGGGAAGACAGGAAAAAATCTACTTCTTTGAGTTAGGGTCTACCCTTTTGCTTATGAAAATAGTGTTCAGTCTAGTTGTTTATTAAGAAGTAAACATGCTGCAATGATTCAGTATTCTAGTGGGATCCATGAAAAGGCACTGTGCCGCCAGACCAGCACCTGAGCACCTAACTTTTGTTTATTTTTCATGTTGTTAAATCTGGATCCAGCTATATCCACATCAGATTACTCAGTGCTGTACCAGTCACACAGCAGATATTTGTGGATAGGTCTCTGTGGAAGGCACATCCTGCTTATATTGTTTAGACATTGTTAAATTAAATGTGAAGGCTAGTGCTTAGGGAGATAATGCAAGTTTGTGACCCTTTCCTGAAGCTGAAAGGCAAAGACTGAATTATACCGTGCACTTTTGACAGAACTAATATTTATAAAACTTTTGTTTAATGTCATCTGGGAACACTGCGGGGCATATTTCTAGTGCGACTATTTTCTCTCTCATTTACCTGTTTCAGAAAGTCATTTTTGGGAGCAAACTCTGTACAATAGGAATAATTTATCCAAATGTCAAAGGGGACAGCAAGATGTTGTGATGCGTCTCAGTGAACTGGAATGTATTTTTAACAGACAAGACTGGCTTTGTATTGATGGTGTCTTCAACCAAATGAAGCAGTATATGGTACACCTTGCACTTTACTGAGAATGAACACAGCAAGTACGTTTCTAGCCTGTTAACATTAAGTAACACAACATTATTCATGCCATTAATTGCTAATAAAATTCAGTGTTCTGAGGCTGAATAAACTAAATATTTCTGAATAAAATTTATGTTTTATCAATGACGTTGAAACTCTTTTGCCAATTATATTCAGTACTGAACTACATTACTGGTTAGTGACATTCAAGTTCATTAAGTTATGCATAGAGTTGCCAGGCTTCTTCCTCACTCCAGCAGAGGGATTTGTGGAGCATCCAAGGAGTGGGTAGGGATGCCCCAAGCCCTGCCCCCAAGCACAACCACCTGCCTGGCAACCCCTCTCCCTCTCCTCCTGCTAGATTTAAAGGGCTTCAGCTGATCAGTGGGGACCATGTGACCCCCCCCAATCAGCTGGAGGGCCCTTTAAATCTAGTGGGAGGGAGAGAGAGGTGCTGTTGCAGGCCGCATGCTCAGCTCACAAAAAGGCCTTTTAAAGGGTCCTTTCATGAGTGGGGCTGAGGGAAATCAGCCCCATGTGCCACGGCCCCCACCCCACCCCAATTGCAAAAAGATCCTTTAAAGGGTCTTTTTGTGAGCCAAGCATGCAGCCCACAACCGCCCCTCTCCCTCCCCTCCTGCTAGATTTAAAGGGCCCTCTAGCTGATTGGCGGGCCATGTGGTCCCCGCCAATCAGCTCAAGCCCTTTAAATTTGGCAGGAGGGGAGGGAGAAGGGTAGCCAGGTGGGTCGTCACACTTGGGGGTGGGGCTTGGGGGTGGGGCTTCCCCTACTGGCCAGATGGCCGGAGGCAGATTGGAGCCCCCAAAAGTGGGGGAATCCCCACCTGGACCCTAGTTATGCACCTCATTCCAGGCTGTTTGTTATGTTAACATTATGTTAACTATGTTTTCCCCATGAAGTTATTGTGGGTACTTTTATGTACATCTTTCATACAAGCTAAAACACTTCTCAGCCTGCGTATGATGTGTAATGTGATGTTCCCATTACTCTAATGGCCTGTTGATGGCATGATGGGGGTGGATTGAGGTGAGGATGGAACAGTGCTCTATTAATATGGTAAGAATCCTCTATACAGTTTTTGTGGCTGTGGTGGGCTGGATCTGTGCTTAATGTTGACAAACCATTCCCTAATAACATTACTAGTCCTATATTATAGAAATAAAGCAAATAGAGGTAGTTTCCTGTGGCCACTCCTTCGCCACATTCCACACTTTACTTTTTAAACCTAATTTTGAGAGATGAACTTAAAAGTGTACTTTTAAATCTTATTGTTAAATGTAAGACCATAGTACCATTATAGCAAAGTCTTTGCATGTTCATTAGGGTTGCCATCATCCAGGTATGGCCTGGAGTTCTCCCATAATTACAACTAATCTCCAGGGTAAATTGCTCCGTTCCCCTGGAGAAAATGGCAGCTTTGGAGGGTAAATTCTATGGCATTACATTCCTACGGAGCTCCTTCCACTCCCCAAACTCTGCTTTCCTTAGGGACCATCCCCAAATCTCCAGAAATTCCCAAGCTAGAGTTGGCAACCCTGATTTGGGACATTCTTAAAATTCAACAGTATTCATTGCTGGCAATATTGGGAATGGCTTTAAAATATTTTTAAATGAAAAAGTGACAGTTGGAAGATGTTGATGATTTCTCCAATTTCAATTCATTGCAACTTTTCAACATAAATATTTGAAGGTTGGATGTGCTGCAGACTTCCAGTTTATCTCCAGTAATATGCTTACATGCCCATGGGAAGGGCAAGAGAGGAAAATGAACTCATGTTGAATTTATTTCTATAAATTCAAAGCCATTCACAGATGCTGAACCTGTAGTGGCCTGTACAGTGATAAAACTGGAATGAGCAGGGGGGAAAGCAAGAAAATTATAAAGATTTCAACTTCTGAACATCTTGTTCATGTGTCCTGCCATTTTGAATATAAAGTTACTAAAGTTTACAATTCTTCATTGAATTTACCAAACTTTTACTTGAAAGCAGGCTCAGAACTAATATAATAAAACTTATTTCTGCATTGTACAAAATTTTATTTATATATATATATATATATACACACACACACACATTTCTCATTTGTTCTGCTTTACTCTTTTCTTTTCACATAGTGCCCTGTTCTTCCTCTTTCTCCATCTTTCCACTTATAATAGCAATGCCAATATAACTTTTACCAAGGAATCCATTACTATTTGGTGGTAATCTTCCCAGGCAGGAAATTAATCTCTCTCAGCTTCCCACTCACCCTCATAGTCCTATATATTTCACCTGTCAGCCTCCTGCCCTTTTAATTTATCACTTCAGCATCTTTTCAACCATTACAGCAGAACTATACAACTTGTGTCCAACCACACCAAATGCTACTAGTGTTGTGGCCTATAAGGTGCTAAAATCCCTGAGTTCTGCCATTGAAGGAAAACATTAAATGATTTCTTGTTGGCTGCCTTGGGATTGGATAGGGCATTAAATCTTATTCTCTTGAATGATTAACTAAGGGAATGCATATTGTAGGAACCAACGGGGGGAGGGGGGTAGCATAGGATGTCCTGTTGCAACAGGCAGTGGTATTCAGAAGAATTCTCATAATGAGTCCCTATCTATAGAGAAATCTGCCTGCCTAAGTCCACACAAGAGGGTCATTCTTCTTGGATGCTCATCCTAGCTAGTCCTTTGGCTAATGCTTTGAGGTAGGTTCTCTCTATGTTCTAAAGAGGATATGAGGGGCCCTGCCTTGGCATCAAGTAAGATGATTACATAGAAGTCTGACGAAAATTGCAACTAAAGTAGGGTTGCTAGGTTCCTACCTTTTTCCAGTGGGGGGGGGGAGAAGCTCTTCTCCTGGGATCATCTGGTGTGTGTGCATAGTATGTGCATT